TGGTAAGATTGATTATTTCTGGTAGTTCAGCTAGTTTTTTCAACTGTGCCGACAATTGCAATACATGATTCATATAATTTATAAGATCGTTGTCGTTATTAACATACAAGTTGAACATGCGGTCCACTAATTTCACCGAAGGTGTAAAATCTAGAATAATAATATAAATAATTCAAAAAAAAAAAAAAAAAAACCTGAATAATCACTTAATCACTATTACCTTTAGACAATTCTAGAGTATCAGTTAGTACTTGACGTGTATTTTCACAAATCAGTTCATTCCTTGAATTTACATCATTTATCAAAATATTCACTATCGATAAATATGATGACAAGTAAATCTGAACAAGTTGCTTAATGATTTCGAGACTCAATCCAATTTTCTTGCCATTACAGTCATAATAACAACCATTGTCAAAAAATTCAGTATGATCATCATCATCAGGATTTAACAGATCTTCGAGTCGAATCTTATCAGGAATGGATATTATTCTCTTCGCATAATTAAGAACACTTGAAAGGCCTTCGACTATCTAATTACAATAATTAATTGACGCGTTTTAATTGATATAATCGTTATTGAATGTAAATGAATTAATTTTAACATAATTGAATATTGAATATTACCGATCCGACATTACTTTTAGATTCCACAATTAACAATAAAATCTTTAAAACTTTTCGGATTATTGGATGATACCCATGATTCAACAAATTGCATATCTAAAAATTGATTTAACAATAAATAACTTTATAAAATAAATATTAATATATCAATGATGCTATAAATAAACGTACATGAACCATGTTTACATCAATTTTTTTTGAAAGACTCTTAATGACATTTATTATTTCATTGATAGATTCAGCGTCGATCATATTAGCAGTTTTTTCAATTTTTTTTAGATCAGCGATTATGGAGAGACTTGGCACCAAAATTTCATTAGGAACTGTCTAGCATATGACCATCGTTCATTAATAAATAAAAAATATAATTTTAATTATTAATTAAAAAAGATATATATGCACGTACCTGAAAAGCTGTACTGTGACTATTGACTATATAATTTTCTATAATGAAGCATTTATTTAACATGCACAAGATACGCCAACCAGCATGATGAACAATTCTCTCCTCAAAACATTCATCTATATCTTGCAATAACTGATGCCTAAAATCCTTCAAAATGTGATGGTAAATTTCAAGCACAGCATCTATTCCAGTACCAAAAGAGTTATTCAGATTATTTTCAAGAAATGCATAGTGAATGTTATGAAGGCCGGTTATTAAGGATTCTTGAGTTTCTATCACATCAAATTGATCTAAATCCTAAAGTTAACGAATGAATTGATATTAATCAACTGCATTTCCTTTAAAGCATAAAATATTGAAATTTTACCTCTTTATTCGATAAAAATAAGATCCATTGGATTAATAATTTCTGGACTGTATACACAACAAATTTATTATCGTTCGTAAGAAATTGCAACTTTGAATATAGTAAATAATGATGGAGTAAGAATGAGATAGAAAAAAATATGTACATTTTAATAATAGAATATACCAAGATTTGTTGGTGCTTTGCTATAATACTGCAGTACAAAAGTGCATGCTCGTCAGAAGCAATAGATACGTTTTGATGGCAAGTTTTTAATATTTTATTGATACTGCAAAGTGTATCTAAAAATATCTCGGGATTTTGAATAACTTTGTTCTTTAAGATTGGGATAGTTTTAAGGAAAAGATTAATTGACCAAAAAAATTTCTAAATTGAAAATGCAAAATATTTAAATTAAATAATACCTTTAAAAAAGTTCTAAGGCATTCTACTTGGTGAGCTGATATACGAGAATTTTTGATAGTATCCATATTATTTCAAATGTGTACAATTAAAGTTACGTGCATATTATTGCATTGGCGAATTTGAAGGCATACCTATATCTCAATAAAAGGATGGCATTAAAAAATTGCTCATCCGATTTGACGGTTTAAAATTAAGGTATAGCATCTCACGAAAACACCCGTAAATACGGATGATCCAGTAACACAGCTGATCCTTATTTCTGTATATTAACTCTTATCGTTATACAAATAAAACTAGTTCCTGTGCGTTGCACATAGATATTTTATAGTAAAAAATTTTTATCATTATATATAAAATATATCGATATATATATATAAATATAAGAAATTTTTTTGATTATATAAAAATACAATTGTATATTTAAGAATGGTAGAAGAATGTCACGAATTAGCAATTGTTGATACCGAATCTTTTATGCTAGATTTTACCAAATTAAAAGTAACTAAGTGTTCAAAAATAGGGTTTTGATCTCATAGGCAGACATTCGTATGATTAGCTGTTTAAATCAATTTAATTTTACATTATTTATACAGTTTAAAGTACTTTTTAAAAAAAATAAAACTACCACGAATAAACAAAAAAGGAATATATTGAAAGTTTTATTAAGG